CTTGAAAGTCTGAATTACTTCCACTTGGTGTTCGTATAGCTTTGTAGGTTTTTCGTAAAAGTCATTTGCCAAGCATAAAAAAGAGTTTTTTGTGCACCAGAAAATGAAGCATGAACTATAATAGCATCTGAGTCGAAACATCTTTAAATAAATATGGTTCAATCTCTTGCATATCGACTGTAAATATTTGCTAAAGGTAAGTTTGACTTTCGATTTACATCTTTCAAATAATACCATGACATTGCAGTGAATTCTGTATATATTTGTTCGTCTTTCTTTGGATTGTCTTCGTAGATTTGAAATGACACTTGTGAATTTTGTTTGTCATATACAATTCTCACATAAAGTGTGCTCTCGGTATTTGCATATTCATCAGCATATTTGCATAACATGAATTTATTTTATCTTCTATATTTTTTAACGCAGTCTGTAGAGAAGATGAAAGGTCAACTTGTATTAGCTCAATTTCTTCCCACATTTTTCGTTTCCCTTCAGAATATAAATCTATATGAAACCTTACAATAAATGGAAAACTTTTATCTTCTACAGACACAAACTTCATTCTACAAAGCCAATAGCTTTTGTGACAGATGGTCTCTTAGCCATCTTAATGGGTAGTCAAAACGATAGCCTTCATGCTTTACGGTCTCTGTCTCAAACTTTTGACCGACATTAGTAAAAGTTCATCTAATGGTTTAGTTGTAGCAACTCTTGAATTTTCTTTTTCTATTGGAAGCATATTTTATCTAGAATAAAAATGTCAAATGAAACAGCGTCTATGAGAGAAATACAACACAACCGACAACTCATTATACAAGCTCTAAATAAGAACACAACAAACTTTTCAAACTATTCGAAGATATCTGAGTCATTGAAAGAAGGAAACTTAAAACTGACATTAAACCCAATGACAGATGAGTTTCTGTTTCAAGACAATAAGAACCATACTGTCTGTATAAATCCAACAAAAGGAACTTTAAACGAGAAACCTATAAATGAACTTCTTTTGAAGGCAGATATTGACAACAAAGCTGACAAAGAGTATGTAGACGATGCAATAGCAAAAGAAGAAGAAAGAGCTAACAAAGCTTATGCAACAAAAGAGGATGTTGAAAAGAAAGCAGATAAAACATATGTTGACGATGAGTTAGCATGTGTGACTAGTGCGTTAGTGAAGAAGGCATATAAGGAATATGTGGATGAAAAAGACAATGAAATTAAAGAAAGGGTTGACTGGTACCATGAACGGACATCGAAGATTTTAAAAACTAAAGCCGATACAGGATGGGTTTCAGGGTGTTTAGACCTTAAAGCCGACAAGAACCATACACATACCATTGCAAATATTGCAAACTTACAAGAAACCTTAAACAGGAAAAGTGACGTTGGACATACACATACCATTGCAAATATTGCAAACTTACAAGAAAAGTTAGATGACAAAGCTGACAAGAACCATACACATACAAGTTTTACAACTGTTGCTATAGAAAATATTGAAGGAACGGTTGAAGAAACTGGTGGGGATGTATTAGATTGGAAACCTCCTAACTTTCCAGAAGGTTTAACATCGGATAAAAACATAACAACGATGAGATACATTAGATGTAGAGATGTTTATGTCATGGAGGATGAAAATAAAGTTAAATTCACTGCTCAAGATTTATATGACAAGAAAGCAGACAAAAAAGAGCTTCAAACATTAAAGACAGAAATACTTCAAACCATTTACCCGGTTGGTTCTATTTATACGTCAATGAACTCTACCAGACCAGAAGTAGTACTTGGTTTTGGAACTTGGACTCAAATACTCGAAAGTTTTTTGTATTGTGCACACACTCCAAAGAAAACAGGTGGAAGTAAAACGATATCTGTCGACAACTTGCCACCACATAGTCATTCTGGTACAACAAGTTCTAATGGAAACCATAGTCATAGGGTTTGCAAACAAGGATATAACACTGTTTCTCAGACTTCAATGCAAATTCAAGTTATGTCAAGATCTCATTTTCCAAACGACCCAGTAGACTGGAATGGAATGTGGACAGATACAACTGGAAACCACCAACATACTTTTACAACAACATCTACAGGACTAGGTAAAAAATACATGCCACCTTACATGACAGTTTGTGCATGGTATAGAATTGCTTAGTCGTCATGTTCCACTTCTTTAGCATATTCGTCAGGAGTTGTCTTATATTTGTTAGGAACTGTCTTTGAAAGTATACCACCTTGAACTTTAACAAGTTTGAAACGAGGTCTGACAATAGTAGTTTTATCTTCTGCTTGCAGTCTGTACATTTTGCCATGTTTGCCTAAAACTTCATAATATTCTCTTGTATTACTTTCTTCTATTTTACGAACACGAATGCGAGTACCTGTCGAGTTCCATTGTTGTCATAGTCAATAGTATTTTCATATGGTCGCGTTTAGTATTTCTATTTTACTTTGTCACCTTCTTAAGTTTGAAGCCTGGCATTCTTTCTTGTTTGTCTCTTTTGACTTAAACTATTAAATATAGTCTTTCTCTAAGTCAGGGTTGTTTTTCATTCTTCGGGGGAGTGGTTTCCCAAACCTTTTTGTTTACGGTTGTTGTAAATATTTAAAAACTGTTCTCATCTTTGCCATGGAGAAGTGTCTATACTTGTCGTCATATGACATTTCATCTACCTCACCACCTGTGTTGGTTTAAGTCTCTTAAGATTTTATACAACTGTCAATGACACCAAGAGCAGAATGGTTTTGGTCGACAATGAAATATTGGTTTACATTTTTTGAACGCAGATAGTTTTTAATATCGTCTGATTTGAAAGAACTTTCGTAGTCAGATGTCAGTTTTGTTGGATGGTATTTGTCAACGAAGATTGTCAAAGCAGTTTTCACATCTAAAATATTTTTGGACTGTAATGGTATGGCTTCACAGTATCTTGTGTTTTGACCGACAAATATTAGCCAGTATGGAGGTCCATCTGTTCTAACTCTCGGAATGTTTTTCCAAGATATCCATAAACCAAGCATTTGGTGTTGAACTAAAGATTTTTTACCATGAGTGCTTTTTTTGTTGCCTTAGAAACATAGGGTCCTTTTTGGATTCGTCATTTTTAACCATAAGAAATGGGTTTATTTGGCGCATTAGCAGGAGTTGCATCCAGATTTTTGCCCGCAGTGGGAACACTAGCCAGAGGTGCATTTGAATTGAAGGAAGATTTTGAGTACATTAGGTATACTGAAAGAGAAGCACAACCTATTATACAAACTGTACAGAAAGGTTGGGAGGTAGCACGAGATGCAGCAAATCTTATTCCAAATCCTGAAACAAAGGAAAAGTTCAAGGATGGATGGACAATGTAGGAAGAGAAGCAGGAAACTACTATAACAAAGCAAATGACTACTATAACCAAGCAGGACACTATATGGACCAAGGTGAAAGATTCTTTAACAGAGGATATAACCATGCACAACAGTGGGTAAACAATAACCAACCGCAACCGCCTCAAACGTGGGGAATGTAAATTTTTTTACTGAGATGAAATGAACAATACAGCATTGAGACAATGGGTTCAAGATGGATTTGTCGACTCCCAGCAGTTACACAACCACGTGTTTGTCAAGTTCTTCCTATACCTCAGGAAGTTTTAGACCGACTTAAAAAAACCTAAACAACCAGTGAAAACAAACCAAACTAAATTTTTTACTGAGATGAAATGACCGAAGAAGTTGAAACGTAGATTTGACACCACAAACAAAAAGTTCAGAACCATTGTCAAAACCTGTCAAAGAACTACAGATGAAGAGAAAAATTCAATAATAGGAAAGTGCCAGGTCTGGAAATGCAAACCCTAAATATAAAGTCACTTTTCATAGAAATGGAACGGCTAGTATCTCAAAAAAAGAAACAGACTCTCACAAATAAATATTGAAGTCTGAGAGAATTTTTCGAGACAACAGATGGAAAAGTTTACTTCACCGATCAACAGTTCATTATAGAACATCTCATTGACTTAGAGTCGAAATATTCTAAACTTTACAACAAACACAAAAAGTTGAAAGGAAAACAAAAACAAATGGCATATGATATTTACGAAGATACTAACGACACAACCATACCTGCAAGTGAGGTTAAGTCAGAGGAACCGAAAAGTGACGAAAAACCAATAGAAGAAGGGAAGCCAAAAACTGAAGAAAAACCAAAACCAAAGGTTAGTTTTCAAACTAAACCAAGCCAACCTTCATTAGCTGGTATGGGTTGGCGTCAAAGGCTTATGGCAGCGGGAGGTTACGTAAAGTAAAGAAAAAATATATTTTTCAAAAAAACATTTTTTTATTTTTATTTGAAATGTACGCTGAGTTTGTTGGAACAGACCGTTGGAAAACTTGTTTGTTAGATGAGAAATATGAAATTCACTGTTGTGAGTCATTTGAAGTCAGAAACAAAAAGACAAAAAGAGTTTTAAGCGAATGGGAGCAAAATGACGGATATGCTAGGATGAGGATTGGTGGAAAACACTATTTTAAACATGTTGTCATTGCAACTCATTTTATACCGAATCCTAACAATCTACCTTTTGTAGACCACATAAACCATATAAGAAACGACAATAGACTTGAAAACTTACGCTGGGTCACTTGTTCTGAAAACAGTAAGAACATAGGCAAATTTAGAGATATTGTATTCGAATTTGTCGACGAACTAGAAGATGAAGCAATTGAAATTACAGACTATGGTAAGCATACGTTTGAGTTTTACTACTATAGCGAAGAACAGGACTCTTTCTACTTTTATACCGGCGTAAACTATAGGAAATTACAAGTATTTTTACTAAGGAAGGCTGTGCTTATGTAAACGCTAGAGATACAGATGGAAAATACATTAGACTATATCTTAACAAATTCAAGAAGCTATATGGCATACCATTTTAAAACCATATATTTTTACATATATTAAATGTTTCAGGTTGAAAAACAAAGAACAAAAGTAGCAGATACAAAACCGTTAGACTATATCTTTACAAACGCCGGTAGGACTATATCAGATGAAGAAATTTCATCCGGAGCTTACAGGTTTGACTTTCCAATTCGTTGGCTTCAAAGTCCTTCAGATGCAAAGGCAATAGGATTTAGAAGAGTTTTGTTTTCAAATAGAACTAACGCTTTTATGTTTGCAGTATATTTTCATGGGCAATATAGAGGTTCTGATGGTCTAATAGACAATTTTGATGAAATGAGAATCTTTACAATTCGTTCAGACGAAAACCTTGAGAAGACTCTAAATGACTTTCAAACTCAAATAAACAAATACTACTGGGAATTTCAAGAAAAATACGATTCTTTACTAAATGGAACATACTATCTGAAACTAGAATATGACAAGATGAACTCCACAGTTTCATTTCAAAGGATTGAAAATAACCCTCCAAGAGATACACAGTTTTTATTTTGGGAGGTAGACAAACGTTCTTGGGCACAATTTCTTCGGTTACTAAACCAGAACGAACCATTACCACCTGACGGTCCGTTTAAATTTATACGCCCACCAACAGATTTGACAGTTTATAAAAACGTGTTTGACCCTCAAAATGTTATGTGTCATGCAAGTTTCAGTTCAAGCAACAATAGTTTTCTTTGTATTGGTAAGGACTTTTATGACCTTACCTCTAAATTCTACGAACCACCTAGTAACAGTTTCTCTGACTTTCAAGTTTGGTTCACAACAAACGGTGTGCAGCATATTATACCATTGTACTATGACTTTTATCTCGAATTGTCTTTCATATACAACTACGGAAAAGTGCTGAAAAAGTATTGAAAAATGAGATGTTTAGGTTAGATGGTTTTAGGTGTCACTACGTCACCAGGTCCCTCGGTCAAATGAACTTCTCTTAAAATTACTGACAACACGACATTTTGACAACATCGTAGAAAACACACAAAACTCATGAATTTTGTATAAAAAAAGCAACCGTCGGAATTCCGGCGGTTGGTATATTCTTCACAAAATGCTTGTTTTGAGGTCGAGCCATTTTTGGCCCTACCGTATTTTTCAACCAAAACTCTTGAATTCGGCAAAAATATATTTTAGGCGACCAGGTCACTCGGTCACTCGGTCACTCGGTCAACTAACATCTTTTTGAAAAAGTGTGACAACATGACATTTTGACAACAACACAGGAAATAGATTTCATCGTATATTTTTTGTTAAGACTTCATCGTAAATGTTTTGTTGAGACTTCATCGTATATGTTTTGTCGAGATTTTTATCGTTGTGGTCCGACGGTTAAGCCACAAACGAATGTCCGACGGTTAAGCCAAAAATATTTTTTATTTTTATTGTAAGAACAGTATGACAGTCGAAGCAAAAACGTTCACGAACAAATCTAATGGCGAAACATTCACAAAAGGCACTTACAAACGGTATTGAAGTCTTACGTAGAGACAAGGATGGTTATATTAACGCAACAAATATGTGTCAGCAGTTTAGGAAAGACTTTAGAAGAGTTGTTGGAAAATAAGTCCTGGGGAAGAGTATTATACGGCATTTTGTGAAGAATTACAACCGCCGGAATTCCGGCGGTTGCTTTTTATACAAAGTTCATGCAGGAATTCCGGATGAAATCAAACAGTTAGAGGAATGTATGTAGACCCAAGAACTCGTAAACTATATTGCAATGTGGCTTCTCCAAAATATTGTATAGCAGTTGGAAAAATTATGGAACTCCATAGACAGAAAGTTCATGAGAAGTTAGATGAAGAAAGAACTTGAAGATACAGTAGAGAATGCAAAAACCTTTGTTCGAAGAAAGAAGTTAGAAAAAAATGCATGAAAAACAATAGAACATGAACGTGAGATATGTTCTGTTATAGAGACTCGCCATACGAACTAGACCAATGGGAACACAGAAGATTTAAAGAGAGAATTTAGAGAATATGAAACTCGCTAAGATACATTAGAAGCTGCAGAAAAGAAGTTAAAAGTTTGGGGTCTTTTGTACAAAATATTGTGAGTAAATTGAACCATTTTATTTTTATGAATTCGGCAAAAATAAAGTTTATGTTAGAATGTTAGATCTAACATGTTTTCTAACATGGTCTAAAACTCTTGAATTTTCATGAAATTTACACCAAAAATAAAGTTTATGTTAGAATGTTAGATCTAACATGGTTCTAACATGTTTTCTAACCTCATGAATTTTCATGAAATTTACAGCAAAAATAAAGTTTATGTTAGAATGTTAGATCTAACATGTTTTCTAACATGTTTTCTAACATGGTCTAAAACTCTCGAAAATCATGAAATTTACACCAAAAATAATGTTTATGTTAGATGGTTTTTAGGTGTCACTACGTCACCAGGTCACTCGGTCCCTCGGTTAAACGAACTTCTCTGAAAAAGTGTGACAACATGACATTTTGACAACAACACAGGAAATAAACTTCTCTTCGTCAATGTTTCTGTATAAAAAGCAACCGCGGAATTCCGGCAGGTGTGGTATATCTTCACGAAATGCTTGTTTTGTCAAGACTTTCATCGTCAATGTTTTGTATAAAAAGCACCCGCCGGAATTCCGGCAGGTGGTATATTCTTCACGAAATGCTTGTTTTTGTCAAGACTTTCATCGTCAATGTTTTGTATAAAAAGCACCCGCCGGAATTCCGGCAGGTGGTATATTCTTCACGAAATGCTTGTTTTGTCAAACTTTCATCGTACATGTTTGTATAAAAGCACCCGCCGGAATTCCGGCAGGTGGTATATTCTTCACGAAATGCTTGTTTTGAGGTCGAGCCATTTTTGGCTCCACCTGTTTTTTCAACCAAAACTCATGAATTTTACACCAAAAAATATAAAATTTATGTTAGAATGTTAGATCTAACATGTTTTCTAACACGTTTCTAACATGGTCTAAAATCTTGAATTTTCATGAATTTTCCCGAAATAAAAAATAAAGTTAGTTTTTTAAAAAAAATATTTTTTATTTTTATTGTAAGAACATGTTAGTCAACAACAGCACCAAACTCGTTAGTCATGAATCTACTGTCAATGTTATAGAGATGAAAAGCTTCATTCCTTCTTCATATACTTTCGAAACAGAAATCCAGAAGATAAAAGCAAGAACTTCTCCAAGGAGATTTAGATTGCACTGCAAAAGATGAAACAAATGAACAGTATCTTTATGAAATGCAGGACATTATTGACCATTTACCCAAATTGCCTGAAATCCAACAACAAAAGCTTACTATTCCAGAATTCGATGAAATAGAAGTCAAAGCAACTGACTCAGTAGAAATAAAGAAGTTCATACGAAAGGTAAATTATGAATTCCTTGGTTTTCATTGCAACCATAAGGTTATGGACAAAGATTGCGACATGGTATATAAGAACATCTCTGACCTTTACAAATCCGGGGAGTTTAAGACCTACGACAACTTTGTTTCGTTAGTTGCAAAAATGTGTTTGGGAAATAAGAGATAAAGATAGTAGGGTAAGGTATGGAACGAACAAATAAGCACCCCTATGTTCGAGATGAAAGAAAACCATTGACGCCTTGGTCATACTTGCAGGTAAGGTTTCAGAATATAACGCAAAAATGAACCCGCATGTTCTAAATGTAAAGCAGCAATGGAAATTATAACTACTTCCGTCAAAAGATAGCACGTATGCGAAACGCACTTAGCTGACTTAAAGAGGGAGCCAGGAAACCAGCAAGAAGATATAAATGGATCTAGTTTAGAATTTCTGAACAACAAACTATCCAACTGCCAGACAAGATTTCCTCTCTATCCTGATGCTCAAAGAAGAAGTATAAATGAAACTTTCGTATCGCTTAAAACTCTTTGACATACTGACAGAAAGAAAATAGAAGCTACCAATAACATGTTTAAATGTAGTGAACCATCGACAACACTATACCATGTAAAACGCTGTAAATATTATGTTAGAAAACATGTTAGAAATACATGTTAGAGTCTAACATTCTAACATTTAAACATTATTTTTGGTTCATTTACTGCTCATTACGGAAGAAGTTCTTGACAAAACATATTACGAAAAAGTTCTAAAATAGACGAAACATCATTGACACATTACGAAGTCTATTTGACAAAGTACACTTAACGAAAATAAACATATAGAGCTGACAAAACATGTACGAAAAGTCTTGACAAACATATACGATGACAATCATTAACAAAAACATTGTACGACTAAGAGTCTTAAATTTCATGAATTTTGTATTTTTAGACCATGTTAGAAAAACATGTAGAAAACATTGTTAGATCTACATTTCTAACAATAAACATTTTTGTATTGAATTCCGTATGATAATGTTCCAGAATTATTGTATGTTTTAGACCATGTTAGACAAACCATGTTAGAAAACATGTTAGATCTTAACATTTCTAACATAAATCATTTTTTTGTAATTCCGTACTGAAATTTCAGAATTTTGTGTGTTTTAGACCATTTAGAAAACGTAGTAGAAAAACATGATAGATCTAACATTCTAACATAAACAGTATTTGCTTTGAAAAAAATGACCAAATTTTCATTATATAACGTTATTTTTTGAACGAAGAGAACTTTTGCACTTCCGATTAAAAAAATCCTGTGAAATCATATCTTTAGATACAAGATAGTAAAAAATAAAGTTTATTTTTTATAAAATATTTTTTTTATTTTGTATTGTAAGAACAGAAAATAGTTAAACATTGAGTTTGAAACATAAAAAGATAACAATACACCAAATTGGTTAGAATAGGTGATTTAACGTAAGATACTCAAAAGGAAATACAAAACAATATTCTTTGTCAGACATTAATCTCATCGGAAACACGAGAGCCCAAAGTAGGACTGGTGTTTAAAATGCTTCACTCAGAAAATTTTAACAAGAATCCTGCAGCTGATGAATCGATAAAGATTCTCATTGGAACTACAGCATATTCTATTGACAAAGATCTTATTACAATAGTTTTTTATGGTTAGACCCAGTTGTTGGATATAACTTCATAACATATGGTATCATTCGACTCAGAACTTTGCAGTGAAGGCTTACTTTCATCGTTACCAGAACCGAAGGATTCAATACAAAAAGATATAAGATAGGATAGACATATAATATAACTCAAAGGATATTGACAGTACAGTCAATAGAGTTAAGGTTGTGTTTAAACGATATGAAGCATGCTGAAACAAGAACTACTTTGAAAAAAGTTTGAGAAAATATATGTGCTCCCATAAAAAGGTAAGAAAACTTTGAAGTAGATGAGATAGATAGTGCTTTAAACATTATTTGAGCGAAGTTGCTGAAAAAATACCATGTTAAAGCCGTCTTATTTTGGTCTTTGTGAAAGTCAGAAAAAATAGAAGTTAGTTTTATTTTTATTCTATTTTTTATTTGATAGTAAAGACAGATATGTCCAACAACGGAGAACACAACAACAGTTTAGTCCTGAAGCCTAATTAAAATGAAGAATATGAGGTGTTCAGTTTAACAAAAACAACTCCGCTACTCATTCGTCGGTCAAGATGAAATTGTTCAAATGCCAAACGTATTTGAATTAACTCTTCGTTCACAAAGCAAGCATATCATTGTTGAAACCAACAGACAAAAAAACTAATTTAGAAGAATTTCCTCATATGTTTGCGTCCCGCGAAAACCGAGGAACGAGATTCCGTACGAAATCGTGAAAATTTGCCAAATGGTTTGATGAGGTTGTATGTACATAGACTTCTTGTAAATGCTGTTGCAATTTGTGGGCTCACCTCGTTAAACGCTTTGGATATATTTACAGACTTCTTGGACGACTTCATAGACAAGAACCGTGAAGAGCTAGAGAACAAGCTTGGAAGCAACAACAAAAAACATTACAGAAAAAATACCACGTTCGGTACCAAAAGGAAAGGAAAAGAACTATAAGTATATTTGTTTAACACTGAAGAGATGGAAAATGAAAGAGACAGAGATATGGTTATGTTCATTAGTCAGGAAAAAACAAACAAAAGCTTTTACGACCTTAGCTCAAGATTTAACAAATCTGACAGAAATTGTTCTATCCGCGAAAACTTACATTTCAATGACTCCGATGAAATGTGAACAAATAGTTCAAGATACGTTACCTCGAAAACACACTATGATATGAAAGGTGTACAATACTTACATTTAAAAGAAGATTTGCATGGTTAAAAGAAAAAATATCAGAGTATTTTGACAACTTCAAAACAAGCAGAGTAAATGAACCATTTATTTTTGACGCCTTGACTTACAGATGGTCAGGTAGCTCTAGATGGTAAATTGTCTGGTCAAATCCTTCTGGCTTCCAAGTCCTTCCATCCACATTCCAAGTCCTTCCTTTCAACATTCGAGTCCTTCCTTCCAACAAGAAAAAAATTTCCCGACACTGGCGAAAAAAATTCTCCTGGACTAACTGGAAAAAAATTCTCTCTCTTTTTTTTCTCAATAAAAGCAAAAATTAGACTTGAGAGAATTTTGCGCTGAGATTATCATATGATTCGAGGAATTCGTTGATCAATCCAATATCTTCTTCATCTTCACTTTCATTTAATGTATCTTTCAAATCAGGGATGATTTCGGTATTGTTAATGATATTAATGAAAGCTTCCCCTTGATTATTTTCAACGTACTTATTCATAATTGCATTAAGTGCATTAAATACGATGATAATATCCGAAGAGATGAATGAGTGGATAACATCGAGTATTCTAATCTGAATAGCTCGTTCTGTCTCTTTGAATCCATGAAGATCAATATAAAAAGTAACTATGATAATTAATGATTCTTTGACATCATATCCATGGTCTATTGACATCATAACAAAACGGCAATATTCGTTATTGTCGATAACTTTCATCGTGTCTTCACGTAATATATCGTTAGTAGCGCAAGCCTCGAGAAAGTGAATTGCATAGTGTTTATACTCATCATCACATGGAATATGCATGAAAATTCTGAGTGCATGAAAAATCATATTGTTCATTAGAATAATGGTGAATAAATCTTTATTGTCATTGAATTGTCTGAATAAAGGTTCTCTAAGAGCTTCCATTAAAGTGGCCATATCTTTAAGGTCATCATCAATAGTTTCAATTTCATTCATTGTAATCCATCTTACACGCCCCCAGAAGAATTTATGCCTTTCAGGAATTTTCAGTTGGCAAAGGAAGTTAATTTCTTCTGGACGAGCAGTAAGAACGCTTTTGAACATCGAAAACATAGGCATGTAACTTACAGGTACGTTCTTGATGTAAATTAGCTGAATTACTGGCCGAAAATACTCCGTCTCTGGATTGCATTCTATTAATTTGAGATATAATGGAGTGAGGCTTTCTAAGAGAGGTTCTGGTTCAATATTTTCAATTGGATATATTTTAAAATAATTTATATTGTCAGGGATGAGAGGAACTAAACTTGTAAGGATTTCGACTGCTTTGATGTTGTCCATTCTTACTTTATCAGCACATGTTGCATAATTAAAAAATAAGAGTTCGATTATTTCTGGTTTGTTGAGAGCATTTAGGACTTCTTTGTGCTTTGATAATTCGGTTATTACTAGGATTACATGGGCATGATCGGTACCTTTTAGTCTGTCAAGAATATGTAATAAGTCAGAGAGGAAATCAGTTTTAACATAAACTGATGGATCAACATTGAATTCATTATCTTCGATTTTAAACATCAATTCATTGAAAAATTCATCATGTTCGTTTATTTTTTCAGGATCGAGATCTTTTAAGCTTTTAAGTTTTTGTAATGCTTCTTTAAAATCTTCACCATATTGAATATCATCCTTTACTGAAGGTGCTTCTGAAATTATCATAGATTCATCATCAGCTTGTTCTTTATATTCAAACATTCAATGAATAAATTTTGATAACAATTTTAGGTTTCACTCCAACGATATGTAAACCATAGTCCAAGAAATTTCGGAATTTTGATCTGAAAGTGTACATGATAATAGTAATACTAATATATAAGGTATTTATTTTGTTCTTAATAGATAATATTAAGCAGAAGCGTCTAATCCATTAAATGAAAGTGAAGATGAAGAAGATATTGAAATGATCAGCGACAAACTCAGCAAATAATAAAACCAAATGACTTTTTAATTTTTTTATTCTTAGTATAGGTAACAAAAGTGCGTGAAAATTTTGTAAACCGTCAAATTAATATTTTTTTGACAATGTAAGCTAAGTGTTGCGCATTATACTTGGACCAAAAGCCTCCCAGAAGGAATACTCCAAATGGTTTAAACAGACACAACATTCTACAATTCATTCTATGATTGCTCCATAGCTCCATTTCGTAAGGAATAAGAGCTGTGGTGTTCCTAGAAATTCTTAAAGTCTTAGTGCCGGCCATTGTAATCAATATTCTATAAATATACAACTATTCATAATCTCACATAGCTTTAAAGTTTAGATAAAAATCTTTTTATTCTCAATAAAAGCAAAAATTAGACTTGAGAGAATTTTGCGCTGAGATTATCATATGATTCGAGGAATTCGTTGATCAATCCAATATCTTCTTCATCTTCACTTTCATTTAATGTATCTTTCAAATCAGGGATGATTTCGGTATTGTTAATGATATTAATGAAAGCTTCCCCTTGATTATTTTCAACGTACTTATTCATAATTGCATTAAGTGCATTAAATACGATGATAATATCCGAAGAGATGAATGAGTGGATAACATCGAGTATTCTAATCTGAATGGCTTGTTCTGCCTCTTTGAATCCATGAAGATCAATATAAAAAGTAACTATGATAATTAATGATTCTTTGACATCATATCCATGGTCTATTGACATCATAACAAAACGGCAATATTCGTTATTGTCGATAACTTTCATCGTGTCTTCACGTAATATATCGTTAGTAGCGCAAGCCTCGAGAAAGTGAATTGCATAGTGTCTATACTCATCATCACATGGAATATGCATGAAAATTCTGAGTGCATGAAAAATCATATTGTTCATTAGAATAATGGTGAATAAATCTTTATTGTCATTGAATTGTCTGAATAAAGGTTCTCTAAGAGCTTCCATTAAAGTGGCCATATCTTTAAGGTCATCATCAATAGTTTCAATTTCATTCATTGTAATCCATCTTACACGCCCCCAGAAGAATTTATGCCTTTCAGGAATTTTCAGTTGGCAAAGGAAGTTAATTTCTTCTGGACGAGCAGTAAGAACGCTTTTGAACATCGAAAACATAGGCATGTAACTTACAGGTACGTTCTTGATGTAAATTAGCTGAATTACTGGCCGAAAATACTCCGTCTCTGGATTGCATTTTATTAATTTGAGATATAATGGAGTGATGAATTCTAAGACATGTGGTAACTCAAAATTTTCAATTGGATAAATTTTGAAAAAAATTATATTGCCAGGGATAAAAGAAAACACTCTTGTAAGGATCTCAACTGCTTTGATATTGCCCAATCCTGATCTTTCAGCACTTGATGCAATACTAAATAAGAGATCGATTATTTCTGGTTCGTTGAGAGCATTTAGGACTTCTTTGTACTGTGATAGTTCGCGAATGATTAGGAGTGCACAAACATGAGCAATATATTTTTGTTGAACAACAATAAATAACAAGTCAGAGAGGAATTCAGTTTTAACATAAACTGATGGATCAACATTGAATCTATTCTTTTCGATCTTATACATCAATTCATTGAAAAATTCATCATGTTCGTTTATTTTTTCAGGATCGAGATCTTTTAAGCTTTTAAGTTTTTGTAATGCTTCTTTAAAATCTTCACCATATTGAATATCATCCTTTACTGAAGGTGCTTCTGAAATTATCATAGATTCATCATCAGCTTGTTCTTTATATTCAAACATTCAATGAATAAATTTTGATAACAATTTTAGGTTTCACTCCAACGATATGTAAACCATAGTCCAAGAAATTTCGGAATTTTGATCTGAAAGTGTACATGATAATAGTAATACTAATATATAAGGTATTTATTTTGTTCTTAATAGATAATATTAAGCAGAAGCGTCTAATCCATTAAATGATCTATGGATCGCAGAACTTTATTTAGCTCATTCCGACAAAAAGAAGCATGATAACTTGTTGAGAATGGATTAGCTAATCTTTCAAGATGTTGTAAATTAATTTTATTTAAAAGAGGAATTTTAGGGGGCGCACTTTGAACGATACGGATTTTTTTTTGAAAAATGACTTCCCAAGACTTTATTATCGACAAGGTTGATGATTTTAATGATTTAAATGCATATATAAGCAACAAAGCCATGAATGCACTTGGAATTTCAGATGGTTCTGTTGTTTCAGTCAGGAATCAACAAAATTCACAAACACTTGTCGCCATTCAAGGTTGTGATATGCCTGATAATGTCATTAGACTTAGTCGATGCCACAGGATTAATATAGGCAGCTTTCTCGGTGAAACAGTCAAAATCTCGAAACCAATCAAATCTCAAAAGGCAGAAATCGTATTAGTAGCACCAATTGCCGACACAATTAACGGAATTTCTGGTAATTTCTGCGATTTGATTCAAGAGTCAAGTTATAAATTTAATAATTTTCCCGTTTATCCAAACTTCATTTTCCCAGTCTACACAATGCAACGTGTTGTTGAGTTTCAAGTTATTAAATGCTCACCAAGTGGAGCTCACGTCATTGTTACGAGTGCAGATGTATTCTCTTCCAGATCACAACCAGTCAACCGTACTGGACAGCCTCATTTCGAAGGAATTACATACGATGATATCGGCGGAATCGATTCATCTCTTAAAAAAGTTCGTACTTCCATAGAAAGACCTTTATTATCACCAAACTACGCAAGAGGCAACGAACCAAAGGCAGTATTAATTACAGCTCCAGCAGGATGTGGTAAAACACTCCTTGGATCAGCAATTCCGAACGAAACTTCATCAGATTTTCTCGGAATCAAAGGATCTGACATCATTTCTATACGTCTCGAAGCCGCCGTTAACTTCATTAAGTCTGCTTCTAATGCTGCCGCTCAAAAATCTCCTTTCATTGTTTTCATTGATGATATTGATACGATTTCATGCCAACAATACAACGAAGATGGCACACCAAACAACACATTATCGAATGCCATCGCTCAATTCATCAAAGGAATAAAGGATCAAGACAAAAAAGTTGTAATCGCAACAGCTCGCCATCCGGAGTCGATTGTTCCTGCTGTGGTCCAACTTTTCGACGATAAGGTCGTGATTAATTTACCAAATGACCAAGAAAAAATGAAAATCGCCGAAGCAGTGACAAGAAAGATGGAAATATGCGGAGATGGAGCATTACAAGCACTTGTTGATGGATCTGAAACTGGTTCCGATATTGAAATGAAGGCCCAAGACCAACTTACGGAAAAAATGATGAATATTCTTTCCAAAGTTGACCCATTAGCTCCAACTCTTTCATTAAAGATGTTGCAGGAGGTCGCTGTCGGAGAAGGCAACGCCGAATCCCGCAAATCTTTCAAGAATAGGGAGGCCAAGAAGAATATCGAACAAAAACCACAGCCAAAGAAGCAAAAGAAGAGAAATCAGCACTTCGAGACCCCAGGAGAACCGAAATCTCTCGATCCTTTCGGCGATATCATGGACGAAGGAGATGATGAAATCAATGTTGAAGCACTGATGTCATCTAGGCAACCAATCAAGTCCTCAGGCACATTCCCAGAGATGGATGCCTTCAATGATCAGCCAGCTCCTGCCGCAACCGATCCATTTGCTGCAAATCAGCCAGAAGATCCATTCGCAGCTCCAAAACAGGAACAAAAGAAGCAAGAACCGGTAGATCTATTCGCAGCTCCAAAACCAATGCCAATGTCCACAGATCCGTTCGCAATGCCATCTCAACCGGCATTATCGAACGATCCATTTGCAATCGTACCAGGAAAAGGCCCAGACTCGATGCCAAAGCCCAGAGCTGATCCATTCTCCCCAACATCAGATCCATTTGCATCTAAGTCTAAAACGGCCGACCCATTCGCCATGCCAGCACCTGATCAGTTCGAGGCAAAGCCAGCGCCGAAGACCGATCTATTTGCGGCCCCTGCATCAGATCCATTTGCACAATCTGCCACAGAGGATCCATTTGCATCAGAATCTGTAAGCGAGGATCCATTCGGTGCTCCTGCCAAGTCCGAAAAGAAGGCAGATCCTTTCGCAGCTCCACAATCAGATCCATTTGCAGCTCCTCCAGCGAAAGAGTCCAAGCCATCGGCAGATCCATTCGCTGCAGCACCTGTAGAATCCGGAGATCCATTTGCTGCTCCTTCAATTGCAGTCAAAGTCTCAGCAGATCCATTTGGAGCTCCAGCTCCTAAGAAAGAGTCCAAACCATCAGCAGATCCATTTGCTGCTGCTCCTAAGCAGTCAGAAGATCTATTCGCTGCTCCTCCAAAGCAAACTAAACCTTCTGATGATCCATTTGCTGCTCCACCACAAAAGGAGTCGAAACCATCATCAGATCCGTTCGCAGCAGCAGCCAAACCATCAGAAGATCCATTTGCTGCCTCTAAACCACAAGATGATCCATTTGGTAATAGTAAACCAAAGAAAGACGCAAAACCATCATCAGATCCATTCGCTGCTCCTCCTAAACAGGCAGATGATCCATTTGCAGCTCCATCTGAAAAGGCCAAACAAAATGATGATCCATTTGCTTCCAAGAAACAGCCAGCCGATCCATTTGCAGCAGCACCTGTTTCAGGCGATCCATTTGCCTCGAAATACCAACCAGAAAAGGAAGATCCTTTCGCATCAAAGCCAAAAGAAGATCCATTCGCTTCCCAGCCGAAGAAGGCTGAGGATCCATTCGCTTCTAAGGCCAAAGAGGACCCATTCGCCTCAAATCAGAAGAAAGGAGAAGATCCATTTGGTTCCGTCAAGAAGAAAGAGGACCCATTCGCTTCTAACAAGGCAGATCCTTTCGCTTCCAAGCCAAAAGAAGATCCATTCGCTTCCCAGTCGAAGAAGACTGAAGATCCATTTGGATCTGTCAAAAAGAAAGAAGATCCATTCGCTTCTAAGCCACAGATTGACCCATTCGGCTCTGTAAAGAAGAAAGAAGACCCATTCGCCTCAAAACCAACATCCGATCCGTTCGGATCTGTCAAGAAGAAGGACAATGACCAATTTGCCAAGAAATCCGACCCATTTGCCACTCCGAAAGCCGATCCATTCGCTACAACTAAACCGAAAAAGGTCGAAGATCCATTTGCTACTCCGAAACCGAAACAAGACCCATTCTCTCGTAAGGCCAAGGAGGATCCATTCGCTTCTAAACCGAAATCGGATCCTTTCGCCAAACCAAATAACGATGATCCTTTCGCATCTAAGCCAAAGGAAGATCCATTCGCTTCTACGAACGCAAAGAAATCGAACGATCCATTTGCCAAGCCTAAAAATGATGATCCGTTCGCTAAAAAGCCAAAAGTCGAAGATGATCCTTTCGCATCTAAGCCAAAGGAAGATCCATTCGCAACACCATCATCCAAGTCAAAGCGTAAGAACGAAGATGATCCATTTGGCTCAACATCGAACTTTAATACGATGGCAGGAGATCCATTTGCCTCTTCCCACAGACAAAAGGCAACTTACGAGGATCCATTCACATCTGTATCGAAATTCCAAGAAGACAAGAAGAATACGGATGATCCATTCTCATCAAAGAAAGATTTAACAATTGCTCCACCTCCAAATGAAGCTTCCAAGGCCAAGAAGTCCCAGGATCCATTCTCTACAACAGATTCGAACTCACCTCTTGAAGCCGATCCATTTGCTCCTAAGAGAACCCCTCCAGTTTCAAAAGATCCATTTGCAACAGTTCCATCTGATTCCAAACTCAAAGAGGACACAAAAGATCCATTTGCTTCCAATCCACAGTCCGCAGATCCATTCCAAACTTCCGGAGATGATCCATTTGTATCTCCAAGTTCACAAACCATCGATGATCCATTTGCAAACAATCCATTCTCCAATTCTAGTAATGCTGATCCATTCTCAGCCTCTGCTGACGACCCATTCGCAAATCCATCTCCATTACAACCGAAAGAAGAGTCAGAACCACCGAAATCAGAAGATCCATTCGCTGCTCTAGCCAAAACATCGCCACAGCCATCAGCAGATCCATTCGCCGCCCAACCGAAATCAGCTGATCCTTTCTCAAACCCAGACAAACAGGAAGAAGACCCATTTGCAGGTGGAGATCCCTTCGCAGCACCTCCAAAGAACGGTTCTGCCGACCCATTTGCCATTCCTCCAGGCGCAGATCCATTTGCAGCTGCAGCGGGAGGAGCAGATCCATTCCAAGTCAACAAAGATGATCCATTTGGAGAGAATAAGTCATCTGCACCGCCATCAGCTGATCCATTCGCTGCAACTCCGATAAAGGAGAGCAACGATGATCCGTTCAAAGCTGAGAAGAAGAAGAAAGAGAAACCGAAAGATTTCAAGACAGCGAAAGCAGAGAAACCTGAGGGAGAAGATCCATTTACACAAGAGATTCCTCCTGCAGGAGAAGATCTATTCAAACCAGAACCAGTTCACACAGAACCAGATACATTCACACGTGGAAAACCTGAAGTAGGAATCATGACAAACTTGAAACCATTGAAATTACCTAAAGACGACGTACAAGAAGAAAAGAAACCAGAGGAAAAGAAGAACGAAGAAAAGAAGGAATATTCTGAATCTTATTCATATTACACTTACACATACAGTGACCAACAACCAGGAAACAAGAAATCTGCTCCTGCTTCAGCTTCTCCATTCGCTGCTCCTCCTAAATCTGCTCTAATGGGAACTGGCTCTGCAAATGGAATTGCTCCAACTCCAAAGGATGATCCATTTGCAGCTCCTCCAAAGAAAGTTTCTGCTCCTGCTGAAGATCCATTTGCAAATCCACCAAAACAAACTTCTCCACAAAATTCAGATGATCCATTTGCAAATAACTCAAGTAATGAAGATCCATTTGCTCCAAAGAAGTCACCAGCAAATTCATCAGATCCATTTGCTAAATCTGATGATCCTTTCGCTGCTCCACCAAAGAAATCTCCACAAAACTCCGCTGATCCATTTGCAACACCAGCAAATAAATCTCCTGCAAATTCAGCTGATCCATTTGCTGCTCCATCTCCACAACAATCTGATGATCCATTTGCTGCTCCTCCAAAGAAGTCACCAGCAAATTCAGTGGATCCATTCTCTTCTGCTGTTGTTACAAATGAAGATCCATTTGCTGCTCCAAAGAAATCTCCTGCAAGTACAGAAGATCCTTTCGCTCCATCACAACCAGCAAAGAAATCTAATCCACCATCATCAGATCCATTCGCTTCAACCGTTCCTTCCACATCAAATGATGATCCTTTCTCTGCTCCTCCAAAGAAATCCCCTCAATCTTCAGCAGATCCATTTGCATCGAACAAATCTCCTTCTAATTCAGCAGATCCATTTGCATCCAATAAATCTCCTTCTAATTCAGCAGATCCATTTGCTTCAACACCATCGAAATCTAATGATCCTTTCGCAGCTAGTTCTGATGATCCGTTTTCTTCTAATCCAAAGAAGTCATCTGCAGCTGCTTCGAATGATCCTTTCGCTCCTTCTCCATCTCCAAAGAAGACAGCAGATCCATTCGAAGTTCCTCCAACACCGCCACAGTCTGATGATCCTTTCGCTGCTCCTGCAAAATCAACTCCACAGAAATCAAGTGATCCTTTCGCTGCTCAACCGAAGAAATCTGAAGATCCATTTGCTTCCCCTGCCAAATCCTCCAATGATCCATTTGTTCCTCCTCCAAAGAAACAGGCAGCTCCATCAAATGATCCTTTCTCTTCCTCTCCAAAGTCTTCTGACCCATTCGCTGCTCCTCCAAAGAAATCAGCTCCAGCAACAGATGATCCATTCGCTGCCGGTGATGATCCTTTCAAGCCAACACCAAAGAAGTCTTCTGCAGCTCCTTCTAATGATCCTTTCGCTCAGCCGGCGAAGAAGTCGGCTGATCTATTCGCTGCAAATGATGACCCATTTGCAAAGCCATCGAAATCAAACGATCCTTTCGCTTCTAATCCAAAGACTAAATCAAATGATCCTTTCGCTAACGACCCATTCGCTAATCCAAGCCCATTCGGAACACCAAGCAGCGCTTCTCCTTTCGGAACACCAAGCAATAGCTCGAAGAATGATGATCCTTTCGCATGAATAAATTTTGATTAAATTTATTTAATTTTTTAATTTCATGATTATTTTTGTTATTTAAGGAAGGTTCTACTCCTATATATTCTCAAAAGGCTTTTAGAATGGATCATGCTCAAAATATACTATATTAAGAATGGATCATATTAGAGTGAGAAAAAAGTTTAAAAAGACAATTAAAATTCACTCAATTTTCCACCCTTTTTTGCTTATTTTATACTTTAAAATGATCATTAAATGGATTGAAGTGAAATGATTTATTAGTTTCAATTTTCAAGCTACATCCTAAGATTATGGAATTATGCTTATTAAGAGAGAAGCGGTATCGTCTATTCATAAAAACAGTGAAATAAATGCAGTTTCAATTCATCACACATAAAAATCGTTAAAATTATGATAATAGTAAAATATTTAGTCGTATAATTCTGCAAAATGATTTAATCATAGGTTACTGGAGTAACTTCAAATATAATTCCAGGACCGAGTTGTTTGAATCCATTTTTCTCATAGAAAGCCATTCTTTCTTTTGCCTTTTCTGAAGTTAAAACCGGTGTAAGACCTTCCAAAGTTTCATAATTATTTTCTTTTGCGTATTTCTTTATATGATCCAATAATACTTTGCCAACTCCATGACCTCTATAATTTTCATCAACAATCAAGTCTGCAATATTAAGAGTTTTGCAATTCATTTCTAAAGTATATATTCTGTTACATAAAGCACAACCAACAGGGGAACCATTTTTCTCTGCAATGAATATTGGTGTTTCTTCAGGATTTTTGAGAATGTGTTTGTAGATCGGATCAAATTTTGAATATTTATAATCATTTTTTGTATTGAAAGAAACATTTATCAAACTTCTAAGGCATTTCTTGATAAAGTCGGCATCTCCTGATAATGCATTTCTTACTGTGATAGCAGAACTCATCTGTTATTAATAAAAATGTGAGATGATCAGTCGGCGGGTAATTTCTCTCTGAATTAGTCGTCTTCAATTTTTTTGAGAGAAAATTCGACCATCAATTTTTTTAAATATCTCTTTGTTTTTAATTGATAACTTCGCATGAGTCATATCAAACACAGAACCATTCATTTTAATACATATTCATCACTTTTGAAAGGTTTACAAAATGCTTCACAAAAGTCGAAAAATTTAACTCCTAAAATGGAATGATTAAAAATATTATAATAATACCAGGATTTTTTTTTCTGAACCCGCAAAAATGTTTTATTTCCTCTGGTTTTGAATTTATCGATAGTCATAAAACATATGTTCAAATGAATATGGCATAGAGGTTTTATCTAATGTTTGGGTATTTTGGCATGAGTCATGAGGAAACAATGTAATGACGCTCCACGCCGATAATATTTATAAATTTTTTTAAAAATGGCTTATGATGAGCCTGAAGCAATTATTTTTCTAATTGATAACTCAGATACATCAATAAATGGCGATTTTGATCCATCACGCCTTGATGCACAGAAACTTGCCTGTGAAAGATTGGCTAGTTACAATTTGAAGCAGTCTCCTCAAACAGAAATCGCTATTGGATCCATCGGATCGGAATGTTTTGGAATACAGCAATCATTATTAAATACTACAAGTAAATTACACAAAACTTTTGATAAAATTTATCCAGGAGGTGAAGCTCTTGTTACAAAAGGCCTCTTATGCGCAATGTTAGCTCTAAAGTATGCAAGCAGATTCATTACTTCGAAAAGAATTGTACTTTTTCTCGGATCCAAAAATAATTTAACAAATGATGACGCAAAAAGTATTATAGAGAAAGCAAATGACGAAAACATTTCAATAGACATCATTGCATTCGGTACAGAAGTTGATAAATTAGGCGTTTTAGAAATGATAACTAGATATACTTATTCTGAGTCATTTTATATTCGAATCAGAAACTCTCATAACATACTAAGTGATTCCGTGTTGTCATCTGTTCTTGGTCCAGGTTCTACACAAAATCAACCAGAATCTTTTGAAGAAGATGATGAACTGACTGCCGCAATCAAAGCATCGCTTGAAGATTCGGATGATAATGATTTCTACAATACAAATGAAGAAATAATTTAAGATTTAAGAAAAATTTTATCTGTTTCACAAAATTTTCAATATTTTCGTTCTGAAAATTGAAGACAATAGTACACTGATCAATATTTCTTCTTATTTTCCAAGAAAAATCATTAATGAATATTTTTCTTATCAAATGAAAGAATTTTGAAGGAATATATCTACAAAAATTAACTCGGAAATTGACAGAAGATCTATTTGCACTTAATCTACCTTGCAAATTAAGATTTCATATTAAATTTCAAATTATGATTTGTTTGAGTAAAAATAATATTTGTTTTATATGTTTACAATAAAAAATGTTTTATATTACAGTTATCATATAATTTTATTTAGACAAAAACGCTAGCATAGGATTATTTATAAATGATATTCCGATTGTTTTGTGGAATCCTTTATTATCATACCATTTAAAGAAGATATCTGCTGTTTCTGTTGAGACACATTTATTATCATAAGTTGCAATAAAAAGATGAGGACATTGTTCAACACATTTTCCATTATTATTATAAAGATGTGAAGAACACTCTATACAATGTGATGAATCTTTGCATCGATTGCAGCCATCTTCACATTTCTCACATCGTCCATTATATTCATATTTTCCAGTTCCACAGGATGAAACACATTTTGAACCATCAATATAGTATCCATAATCACAAGATTCACAAACATTAGAACTACTACAATATCTACAATTATCAGTACATTTAACACAAGTATTGTTGCTATCTGCATAAAAGCCATTACCACAATCATTTATGCATGTGTTCTCTTTCAAATACCATGGAGATTTACATCTACTACATTTGGAAATATCATTAGAACATTTCGCACAGTTATCAACATAGCATGCTGAACAATACATATATGCATCATTTATATAATATCCTTCTCCACAACTGATTGTACAAGTTCCAGCTAAACTATATACACTTCTTGCACAAGAATGACATTCTTTATCTGAAATTTCAGTATCAAAAAATGTTTTGTTTATTTTGATGACAGGTTTTTCACAAAACGTTTCCATCAAATATTCATTAGTTACATATATATTCTTCGACTTTCGATAAATAAAATCAATTACTTCATTATCAGTAATATCAGTATTGCCAGAATAATAAAAATCAGTTTTTGTAAAATCAGAATAAGGAAATGTTATATTAAAGTGTGAATTTATCACAACTTTGCAAAGTTTAGAACAATGACTAAATGCATTAACTGGTACATTGCATTCACAATTGATATGAACATTAGTTAGCAAAGCACAATAGGTAAATGCATATTCTTCAATTTTTGCTATATTATTAGAAAGAGATAGATAAGTGACACTATGGCAAGATTCATTCTAAGATATTATCACAACGAGAGAACACACTGGAACCAAAAGTTGTTAAATTTAATTTGCCGCTTATATTGACTTTTACAATATTAGAGCAACACCAAAAAGCTTGGAAACCAATATTTTTAAGCTCTCAGGAAGATAGATATCGATAAGACTAGTACAAAATCCGAATGCATTTTCACCAATGCTTATTAAATTTTGAGAAAATGTTATATTAGTAAGATTAGTGCATTTAAAGAAAGCAAATTCTTCAATACTTGCTAAATTACCAGAGAAAACAATATTAGTAAGACCAGAACAAAAAGAAAATGAATGAAGGCTAATTTTTATTAAACTATCAGGGAATAAAATATTGGTAAGATTGGAACACGATGAAAATGCATTTGAGCCAATATTTAGTAAACCATTAGAAAAATATATTTCAGCAAGACTTGTGCAATAAGAAAATGCATGCATATCAATTTCCGTTAAACCATTAGAGAATTTTATGGACTGAATGCTTTTACAATAACGAAATGCACAAGCACCTATTTTTGTTAAACTATTAGGAAAAGTTAGATTAGAAAGGCTATAACAGGACGAAAATGCATAAATATTGATACTTTTCAAATTATTAGAAAATGTAATAATAGTAAGATTCGAACAAGAATCGAATGCATATCCCCCAATGGTTATTAAACTATTTGGAAAATTTATTTGAATAAGATTGGTACATCCCTGGAATGCCCGAATTGAAATAGTTGTTAGACTATTAGAAAGAATAAGATTTGTTAAGCTGGTGCAATAAGCGAAACCGCTCTCACCAATTAATGTTAGGCGATTTGATAGAGTAATATTAATAAGGCTTGAACAATTCATGAATGCATCATTGCCAATACTTGATATTTCATCAGAAAAAGTAATAGAAACAAGATTGGAACAATAACAGAATGCTTGATCATAAATAACTCCTAATTTACTTGGAAGAGAGATAGTTGTTAGACTTGAACAATGTGAGAATAATCCTTGACCAAGTTCTGCTATATTATTGGGAAGATAAATGCTTGCAAGTTTGGAACAACCTCCAAAAACATAATGATTAATTTTTTTTAAACTTTCTGGAAGAAACACTTTTTCAAGATTGATACATCCATGAAAAGCATATGATCCAATTGAAATAAATCCATCTTCTATATGTATTTGCTGCAAAGATTCACATTCCGTGCAAAAACGATATGGAATCTCAGTTCCGTTTATTATTGTTAAATTTGTAATTGATCTGTTTTCAGAAGGCAATGATTCGCAAACTCCATTGTTAATGTCGATGGCATATGAGTCAGTTCCATTATTTGTTAGCACACATGCAATTCCCATTAATACAAAATCATTGAATTTTTGAAAATTAAATTAATTAATAATCATTAATCATGAAACTAATTTGACTTATAGTATTATAATAGTGGATCCAGCGATAAAAAAATATGTTGGATTCAAATTGGAAAAAAGATGGAAGTTAATGTGGATTTTGATGATTATATTCCTCAAAAAATCATGTAAAATTTGATTGGTAAAGCAAAAATGAAATGCGTCTAAATTAGGTGACAATTGTTGTCAAATACATCATGTAAAGTACGATATCATTACAGATTTGAATTGAATGTGAAATTTTACATCTGAAGTTGCACTTATGCCCTTATGTCATGGCTTTCAATTCAGGAATTTAAGATTAATTTTCAATGACGCTTCACCCAAGTTGTCAAAAATTTGAATTAAAGTCAGATGGGCGTAAGTGAAGGCTTAACTATTTCAAATTATCCATATACTTCTAGCAGCTGATTTATCATTTTTGGTGAATGCTGCAAAAGGTGAAATCGAAATCTGTCATATTCATGACATTACACGAGAATGGTATTTTTTATTATAATTATTAATTTCAAATTTCAAATTCAAAATCATGAAATTATAATGTGCACCTTGTAGTTACAAGATTTTCTTTTGCTTAAATGTTTAAAAAGTTTCTAAAAAAAGATGTATTTAATTATAATTTAAAAACATTTTAATCTGACGATTGAGACACCGATGATGTGATCTCGCGTACTTTGCTAATAAAACTCGAAGAAGTAATTGGAGAAAATGGCTGATAAAATGGATTGCAAAATTGAAGAAACATTGCATCTCTAATTTTATCGCAAACATTTCGGATGATGCTATCATTCTGGTTAGGAAGGATATTCGTCAAAATAACAATTTTATAGCCGAAATTCGTTTTATATCCCCAAACAGAATATTTCTGATCAGGAATCTGAAGTTGTCCTATGAACTTTTCTTTCTTTGATGCTTTTCCCGTTGATGTGAAGTAATCTAAAGAAACAAAAACAATGGAATCCATTTCAAGCTCGGTCTGTTCTGTAGCATATTTATCGATGAATAAAAGGCTATCATCAGGACCTGTAATTGCTGCACAGGCAATACTTAATGATGGAGTTGCCATTTTTTAGAAAAAAGTGACAACTATCATTGATATTAAAAATTTGAATCTCCAAATGTTGTTTCAATTGCTTTTAATGCTAGATAATACTAAATCAGATCATTTTCTCAAGTAGATTTTATAATTGCTTTCAAGATGAGATGATTGAACTTGATGAGTTTTCATTACAGATCAATATAATTGATACAGTTCAATGGGAAACAGATAGAAGATTCGATCAAGAAACAGTAACAAACAGTAATCGTGAAATAAAGCGTTCTCCTTGGTTTCAAATCTTCGGCACTACAGAAACAGGAGAACATGAATGCTTAATTGTTCATGGTTTCTTCCCAGAGATATATGTTAACTGTCCTTCTAATCCAAATGAGCTCGAACAGTTCACTTCAGAACTAATTTCTTACATAGAGCGTGATTTTGGCGATACTTGCATTAAATCTTACGATTATGCCGAATATATACCAGCCTACGGTTATCAAGACAAGTGCAAATTCATCAGATTATTCCTTGTTCAACCAGATCAACAACAACAGCTAGGACGACACATAAATGCATTCGCCTGGAATGGAAAACCACATCATGCATACGAAGCACACTTCCCAAACTTTATAAAATTTTTATCAAAATATAATTTGACAGGATTTGGTTATATCCGTCTCAAACACGCCTGGAGAGTTAAATCAATACTTAGTAGATACGGAACTGAAGTACATTGCCGTGTAGAAGATATAATTGTCGATTCTTTTAATCAGCATTCTCAATTACTTTCTCATCTTCGATTTATATGGGCAGAACAACGAGATCTCAGACGTAGATTAGGTATCTCATCACAACCACCTGTTACAAGCACTGCCCGAAAAGATATTATTTTCACACAGCGACCACCAACGATTAAACCAAGCCAAGCACCTCCTTTAACGCAAGAACTCGAAGATCTACTCAAGTACATTGAAGTTTTCGATCCTGACAAAGATCCTCAGAAATTAATTGAAGAAGAAAAGAAAACACAATTAGAAATTGATTCAATTATGAAAGACGACAGCGGAATCAATTACCACACGCCTAATTCATTTGTAGAAGGTCGTATTTCGCAAGTATTGCAGCCCTCGATGTCACAGATGAAAGAGAAACCCTTAGTTCAAACAATCGCGAGCAAATTATTGAAATCAAAAAATGTTTTAGTTGTTGAAGAAGAAAAAAATTCAGAAGAAAGTTCATCAAAAGAGAAAACTCAAAATTCTCAAAAAGAACAAGATATAGAAACAGGAGAACATGGCTCGCAATTCCTCAAGGTTCTTTTCATTGAAGTAGGCTGTTCTTCAAGAGGAAAACTTCTTCCTAACCCTGCAATGGATCAAATTGTTTGTGCTTGTTTTACTTTGATGATTGATAAAGAAATCATTGAAAAAGTGACATTTTGGGTTGGTCCAAATTTAGTTATAGGAGAAAAAGTAGAGTTCTTTAGTTCAGAAAGGGAATTGCTTGTTGGCGTTATTAACTATATTCTTAAGATTGATCCTGATATCATTGTTGGATGGAATATCGAAAGAGAAAGTGTTTTTTACATAAATGAAAGATGTAAAATTCTAGGAATCAAAGATTTTTACGCAGAAGTTTCAAGGACAGGAAAAAATCCACACGCAATGGATGAAGTCAGATACATAGAAGGTAGACTGACTGTTAATCTATGGCGTGTTGTTAGACATCAAGCTGCTTTGAGATCTTATACTTTGGCAAGTGTTTCTGATCATTTTTTAGGTACAAAATTTCCTGACATTAAACAAAGCCAAATATCTTATTGGCTGCATAGTGCTCCATTTAGGTTTGTCTCTTATTGTAGAAAGAGAGCAACCGTGATTATATCTATTTGTCTTGCAATGAATTTCGTTGAATATTACTGCGAATTGTCATCAATTATTGGTGCTGATTTCGCTTCAACTTATTCTAGAGGCAGTCAATTCCAAATTGAAAGTTTGTTGATAAGAGTTTCGAAGAGATTAGGTTTTTGTTTACCTTCTCCAACGAGATTTGAAGTTTCTCAACAAAGAGCACCAATGGCTCTTCCTTTAGTTATGGAGCCAATGAGTGGTTTCTATTCTGATCCTGTTTTAGTCATCGATTTCCAGTCTTTGTATCCTTCTTCTATCATCGCTTATAACCTCGATTATACATCAATTGTTGGTAGAACAGAAGATGCAAATACTGGTGGTCGTTTGGGAGTTTACGAGCACAAAGTTCCTACAAGAGTTTTAGAGGAATTACTCGAAAACGGGAAAATAATAAATACTCCAAACGATGTATTATACGTAACTAAAGACGTAAGACCTGGTTTGTTACCTGCAATGCTCGACCAAATACTAAATTTAAGAGCATTTATTAAACAAACACTTAAAAAAACAAAGAATGCGAAAATGAAGTCGATTTTAGATGCAAGACAAATGGCTTTGAAAGTCATTGCTGCTTGTACGTACGGATATACTTCAGCGCATTTCTCTGGCCGTATGCCTTGTGTTGAATTAAGTGATTCAATTGTTGAATGTTCGCGTCACGTTTTGGAATTTACATTGAATTACATTGAAAAAAATTATCCTGAATTAAGTGTTTTATATGGAGATACTGACTCATTGTTTGTTATGATGCCTCCTGCATCTACCGAGAAATGTTTCCAATTTGCAGACAAGCTTTGCGAAGAGATTACTTCGATTTTTCCTTCTCCTATTCGAATTAAAATCGAAAAAATTTACAGAGGATGTTTCTTAGTGAACAAAAAGAGATACTGCGGATTAGTGTATGAAACAGCTGACCAACAAGTACCAACATTCGATGTTAAAGGTCTTGAAATGAAGCGAAGAGATTCATGTCCATTTACAGCGAGAGTTATGACTGAAGTTATTCTTTCCATTATAAAAACAAAAGACATAAAAGAAGCTGAAGTTATTTTTAAACAAAACATCAGCAAACTTTGTCATAACATCATCCCAATCCATGAATTATTCTTCGCAAGAGAACTAAGACTTGGAACATACAAAGCTTTAGAACCTCCTGGAGCCTTCGTTGCAAGAAGACAGATGAGTGTTGATCCAATGATGGAACCTTTATATGGACAAAGATTGCAATATATTGTTGTTTCTTCAAGCCCTGGAAGTAGGTTAGTAGATAAGGTTGTTTCCCCTGAAGAGTATTTGGAAAGGAATATGAGAGTCTGTACTAAATACTACGTCGAGAAACAATTAGTTCCTGCTTTAGGAAGAGTTTTAGAAACAATGGGTGTGGATGTTTCAAAATGGATCAAAAATGTTAGTGTAGAATTAAACAGACTGCCTCTTTATATAGGAAAAGGAAGCACTGTTATTGAACAGTTTTGTGTTTCTGCACAATGCCCTTTGTGCGGAAACCAGTGCTCTACACAATCACCTGTCTGTAATAGATGCTTAACGAGAGCAGGAAGAAAACAATCGTTGATAGAGCTGATTAAAAGAATTAAATCTTGTCAGAAAATTATCAACGAAAATGGCGAAAGATGCAATGATTGCATAGGAGATCCGGGTACAACAGTGAATTGCTGCATGTGCTCTGGCTGTAATGTATTCTGGGAAACAAAACTGGCTGAAGAGCAGCTGAATGTTTACCAATCATATTACAATGCATTGAAGAGATTAGTTAACTAAAATAAATATTATTTGTTAGATTCTTATTAAAATTTAAAGCTTTTTGAATTTAGAAATTTAGATTTCAATGATTTTGTAAATATTGTCAAATTTGGAAAGAAAAATCACTTTCATTTTCAACTGCTTTTGGATGATTTCGGATCTACAAGTATTGAAATGAAAATTTAGTTAACTTATATCTAAAGTACTCATACAGCTAGTTTTTCGACAAGGTCTTGTGGCCCAATGGATAAGGCGTCGGCCTTCGAAGCCGAAGATTGAGGGTTCGAGTCCCCCCAAGATCGGATTATTTTTTCTTTTTTCAAACTGTTATCGAAAAATAATATCAATTTTTCTTTTTTACACATGCATATTAGGTTCATTAGTTTTATGAACTGCCATACTAATAAATCAAATAATAATGATAACATTTTATGCTAATTACAAAATAAATATTCTTCAAAACCTAATATTTTTGGCCAAAAATATATTAATTCTTTAATTAAGCAAAATTTAAATATATTTTTATGTTCCCCAAGCTAAAATGATGATCCCAAAATCACAAAAAATGTCTCACGGTCAAGATCCTAATCAACAATTCCTAAAGAGTAGGATTTATTTCTCAAAAGGCCCTGATTCATTAGCTGCAACAGCTAACAAACACTACGTAAGTTCAAGAACTCCAGAAGAAACATTCCAACACCAACATTTTCATGGTGAGATGCCAACAACATCAAAATACAACAAAGATCAGATCGGATTAGATGCAGAAAATATTAAAGCATCAAAGGATGTCGGTACATGGATTACTGTTATTGGAATAATTCCTGGTAGATTCCAAGAAGTTAGAGAATACTTTGCACAGTTTGGAGAAATCAATCATTTTGAAGAAGGACCAGGAAATTATGGATATATAGAATTTGCATCTTCAAAAAGCGCGAAAACTCCATTAGATAAATCCCAAACAGATCCATTAATAATTACAAAGAGTTATATAGTATCAGTAGCACCAGGAAGACTGAAACCGCATTACATTTCTAAAATAGATGATAATAATGAAAAAATAAATTACTCTTCTTTTACGAAAGAGTCAAAGAGTAGGGAGAAAGTATCCTTCTTAGAAGCTATTAAGAACGCTCTCATCGGCGAATAAATTTTTTGTATAATTATTTTTATTTCAAATCAAAATTTTCTTTTTATCAAAAACATAATAAGAAAAATTAATTATTGATGAAAGTTTTATTCAGCAAAATAATTAACTTCAATCAAACCATCAAAAAAAATTTCGCATAAAAATAACTAAATTTAGCAGCATCCCTTGCCTTCCTTATCCTTCTTCTTTCCATCCTCGAGGTTAACTCTGCCATCCTGTGTTGGTGGTCCTGGAACGCGTTGCTTAAGAAGTGTAGAAATAGCAACTTGGAACATTCTTGAGACACCAGTGCCTGTTGTAGCAGATGTTTCAGCGTAGAGGGCGCCATTCTCTGTAGCCATGTTCTGAGCTGTCTGGAATTCTACTGTACGCTTGTCTTCAAGATCAACTTTGTTTCCGCAAACGAGGATAACAATATTCTCCTCGACGTTTGTCTTGAGCTCACGAATCCAATAAGAAACCGAATCAAAAGTCTCAGCCTTTGTAACATCGTATACAATAAATGCAATAAGAGCACTACGATAATACATTGGGGCAAGACCACGATAAACTTCCTGTCCTGCTGTATCCCAAATAAGAAGTTCGAGGTTTTGGCCATCAATATTTACGTCTTTTGTAACGAAAGCAGCTCCGATTGTTGGATTAACATTTTCTGGGGCACTTCCTGATACATATTGGGTAACAATACTTGTCTTTCCAACACCACTATCGCCGAGCAAAACGAGCTTGATCGCGTTTCCACTATCAGTCATTGATTAAATGAAAAGACGGTTTTATTCTTAGTTCAACAATAACTCGAAATTATAAAAATATTATTATTCATATAATGCTGTGCATTTAAAATAGACACAAATTTGACATCCGGACGGTTTTGACGTTCGTTGTTTCGTTTTGCCAGAAATTGCACTCAGATTGAATTATTTACTACGATCTGCTTTAAAACTTGTAGGAAAAATCAATGGGAATATATTCTCATCAAAATGTGTTGGAATTCAATACACCAGATTCTAATTTCATCATTGCATATTGTTTTGCCCATAACAATCCATAAAACTGAGAATGGTTCAATATGCACTAAGTAACGCAAGAATAATTTTGATTCTATAGAATGAATAAAACAAAATTCGAATTTGTGCAAAACCTTTGATGCTCAGAAATGAGTGATCAAAAGTATAAGAGAAAAGGATGCAAAAATGTATAAAACTTGTTTTCTCTTACGAGAAATTAAAAAAAAAATATTAAATTTTTATAAAATTTTGTTACATATTAAATGAAAATTTATATGACAATGAAACATAAAATACAATGAGTGATTATCAGGAAAAGCTGCTGGTTTATCCCCAATTTGACATTTCTTCATTGACTGATACTGATTCCCATTCAATGGGGCAGCAGCAACAAGGATCAAGGAAAAATTCATCTTTTTCAATCGGCTTCTCTTCTGGTGAAGATGGAGCATCTGAAGTAGAAGATGAAGAAGAGGAACAGCAACCTTCGCAATTTGGTTCAATCTTCTTTGGAAAGCCGAATGTAGCTACGCGTTCGGCCTTCTTTGTCATCTTAGCTGGATGAGATTGCTGAACTGAAGGCTGTGGTGTAATAAGGTGGTATCCAAGGCCTGGAGAATATAAGTATACTGGAAATGGAGACATTGCGGAGCGTCTACGTATAGTCCATTGACGCTGTTCAACAAAATTGCATTTTAGATAAGGAATTGAAGTAATTAGTTCTGGAGAACCTTCGCCACGGATGATTTCAGATGAATAGCCAAGCTTTGCAAGGGCGCCATTAATTGATGATTTACATTTATCAATAAGTAATCGTAATTGTCTTGTATTGATTGCGATGCTTGTTCCTATCCAACAAATGCCGCATACTAAGCATCGCTTCCATTCACTTCCATCGTTTTGATAAATATATCGCTTAATAGATTCTAAATCTGTTTGAAAAGTAAGGCATCGCATGTTCTTTTTGTATTTATGGCTCTCGCTTGATAATTCCGCACGCAATCTATTGTAATATTGCTGATCTTTTAATGATAAAAAATCAAAAAACGCAGGTACTTGATTCATTGAAATTTATCTTGAAAAATTTTTATCGTCTTTCGAAAAATAACAATTATTTTAGAAAAAAGGAATTGAACATACGATAGCGAAGGGAAAAAAAAAAAGGTAGTGGGGCTTCCAGGGGCTGCGCCCCTTCTAGCCCTGAAGATGTTTAGTATAAATGAAGTTCTTATATACGGGTCTTCCAGGAGCTTTTCACAAATTATATATGTTTTCATGTTTTGTCACTTTTCTGTCACTTTTCAGGAAAAAACATTTTTATTATTATATATAAATGAATTTTACAAAACCACCGTTACCGTTCTTTGGAAATAAGGGTAAATGTAAAGATATTATATTGAGAGAACTTAAGAAACTACCGAATGGTCTAACATTTGTAGATTTGTTCGGTGGAAGTTTCTATATATCCCATTTATGTCATACAATATTCCCAGACTCAAAGATTATATGCAATGACTTCGACAACTATATGGACCGTCTCAAACATATACCAGACACAAACAATATATTGAAAGAGTTAAAAGAAAAGATACCTATAGGTAAGATGGAACGTATACCATTAGATAAGAAAAATATTGTGAGAGAGGTTTTGAAAAAAGCAGAATATATAGACTGGGATAGTATATCTGCTAGACTATTATATAGTGGTTCTATAAGAGTTCATGACATTGAAACACTTATGTCAAAAGTTTTATATCTTAACTATACAAATGTTTTCAAAGAGGACATAGAAAAATATATTGAGGGTATAGAGTTTGTGAGATGTCATTGGACAGAGTTGTATGAAAAATATAAAGACAAGGAAAATGTTTTCTTTATAGTGGACCCGCCGTTCTATAACACATGGGATTTTCAATACCAGGTAGACTGGACTTTGAGAGACTCTTTAGAAACTTTAGACGTTTTACATAACTGTCCATGCTTTTACTTTACATCCGATAAAAGTGGTTTGGAAACCGTTATGAGATGGTTAGAGGACATACATGACTATGAGTTTAGATATGACAAGATAGAATATGAGAGAGGTCCTATAAACCGGAGAAAGTGTCATAACAAAGAAATTTTACTAGTAAGTAAATGTGGTTTGAAATAGGACTACTTGTTTTAGGTTTTTTCCATTGTGTCATTTATTTATTTGACGTGGCAGAAAAGTACAGAGAATATGAAGATGAACCAATGCCTGCAAATGTTCAGTATATGTACTCGTAAGAGATATTTTTATCTAATATTAAATGGACGCACAGAACTTAGCGAATGCACAGCAACCTGGACAACCAAACCCAGAGAATATTCCAAATGAAGTTCGAATACAAACTGCAATGGCAAACTATGGTCAAGTGCCAACAGATGTACAAATGCAAACTGCCATGTCAAATGACGCTGCGTTAGGTTTGCCACCATGGTATGCAAATATGAGATGGAAAGAGTTTTATACAAACCCGAAGTGGGATATAAACAACTTTATGCAGATGACGCGAACACAGGAGTTGACCCAGAATATGTTTCTACCAGAGGAGAAACAGAATGTATGAGCTCCAGTTAAAGAATGCTATGGAACTCAACAGGAAACGCAAAAGACTAGGTGGACATTAGATTTTTACATATAGTAAAATGGTTTCTTTGGAAGAATAGGAAACTTCTTTCGAAATGTTGGAAGAGGTATATGGAATGGAATAAAATCTGTCGGAAGGAATTTGGAACGGAGTCAAAAATATTGGTAAAAGAGTAGGTCAGTTCGTTGGTATTATACCTAAAGACCCTGAACCAGAAGAACAAGCTCCTGTTATACAACAGCCTGAACTGCACACAGTCAAGTTGGCCAACCAAATCCAACACCTCAACCGTATTAAAAAATTATATTTTACCGTTTCGATAGTAGTTGTATATGAAACTAAGTTCTAAGTAAAACGCATGGTATAATGGAATTATTCTTTTTCTTCCATCTGTTGTAAACCATACTTGAAAGTCTGAAAATACTTCCACTTGGTGGTTCGTATAACTTTGTAGGTTTTCGTAAAAGTCATTTGCCAAGCATAAGAAAGAGTTTTGTGCACCAGAAAATGAAGCATGAACGATAATAGCATCTGGGTCGAAAACATTTTCATATGTTCCATTAGGGTTTTCGACTTCATAAAAGTCCGGGTGTACTGGATATTCTGCAGGCTGATTTAACATCCTCATAAATCTATACCATGCCAAGTTGTTATATTTTGTAGAAATATAAACGTTTTCTCAAGGTCTTCTATTCTATTGATTTTAACAGTTGCATTTTTCCTGTCATAAATAATATCGAGATGGTATTCTCCTTCGTCAATGTTATACTGCTTTGCATATTCGATATAGATATCGTTTATTTTTTCTTGAAAAGCTTGAAGAGTTGTTTCTAAGTTTACAAGCAAATTCACTTGTAAAAGTTTTCCCTGTTCAAATTTCTCATACATACGTTTTTCTTTGTTATAGTATCGAACTTCAAAACCGACTGTAAATGGGAAACCATGTATGGCTTCTGAAATGAACTTCATTCTACGAAAGCCAATAGCTTTTGTGACGGATGGGTCTCTTAACCATCTTAACGGGTAGTCAAAACGATAGCCTTCATGCTTTACGGTCTCTGTCTCAAACTTTTGACCGACATTAGTAAAAAGTTCATCTAATGGTTTAGTTGTAGCAACTCTAGAATTTTCTTTTTCTATTGAAAGCATATTTTATCTAGAATAAAAATGTCAAATGAAACAGCGTCTATGAGAGAAATACAACACAACCGACAACTCATTATACAAGCTCTAAATAAGAACACAACAAACTTTTCAAACTATTCTAAGATATCTGAGTCATTGAAAGAAGGAAACTTAAAACTGACATTAAACCCAATGACAGATGAGTTTCTATTTCAAGACAATAAGAACCATACTGTCTGTATAAATCCAACAAAAGGAACTTTAAACGAGAAACCTATAAATGAACTTCTTTTGAAAGCAGATGTTGGCAACAAAGCTGACAAAGAATATGTAGACGATGCAATAGCAAAAGAAGAAGAAAGAGCTAACAATGCTTATGCAACAAAAGAACATACTCATCCTGAACTAGCAGACAAAACATATGTTGACAATAAAATGTCAAGTGAAGTGACAAGAGCTGAAAACGAATATTCTAAAAAGACTCATATACATTCTATATCTGAAATAACAGACTTACAAGAAACCTTAAACAGGAAAAGTGACGTTGGACATATACATACTATTGCAAATATTACAAACTTACAAGAAACCTTAAACAGGAAAAGTGCCGTTGGACATACACATACCATTGCAAATATTACAAACTTACAAGAAACCTTAAACAGGAAAAGTGACGTTGGACATACACATACCATTGCAAATATTACAAACTTACAAGAAACCTTAAACAGGAAAAGTGCCGTTGGACATACACATACCATTGCAAATATTACAAACTTACAAGAAACCTTAAACAGGAAAAGTGACGTTGGACATACACATACATCTTCTGAAATAACAGACTTAAACGTTAGCCTTGAAAATAAAGCAGATAAAACATATGTCAATGAAATATACCAAAGTTTAGTTGGAACAAAAAATATTGAAACTATTGTTGGTGACTTTTCTTTCAATGAAGAAAACAAATATTTTAGATGGCAGTTGGTACAGTCCTTAGAAAATGGTACACGGTATAAACTCATTCCGAAAAATAACAATGAAATGTATGTAAGCTATAAAAAGAACGATGGTACACAAGTTAAAGTTCCATTAGACAACAACTGCTACTTAAACTTATATGGAGACGAACAAAAGAAATATTTAAGAGTTTATGAAATGGCAGATATGACATTGCCTGACCCAGCTCCAGCACCATATTATTATGACTATGGAGATGACAACAGAACACCACATGTAGATGAACAAAAGCTAACATTATATTTAGATTATTATAGATATAAAAGATATAATGCAATAGAAAAAACGAGAATAGTATACTATTATGAAGATGACAGAAATAAATATTATAGTCAAGACTTTACCTACCCTGAAAACATAAGATTATATTATAAAAAATATTCTGACACAAACCAGAAGAAACCTGAAATAGTTGCACTATATTTTAAGTTCAAAAGAGACAATCCTATAATATCTCATATGTTTGATTTAATGAACCCAGTAGGTTCTATTTATACATCTATGGAAGCAAGAGGTCCTCAAGTAATGTTTGGTGTTGGTGCATGGGAACAAATAGTCGACAGGTTTTTGTATTGTGCAAACTCTTCAAAGGAAACAGGTGGAAGTAAAACGATTTCAGGTGAAAATTTACCTGCACACAGTCACTACATAGATTTAAGTACATCTCAAGCAGGTTGGCATAAGCATAGATATTGGGATTGGTCAGGAATGACAAAAGGTAAAGGATATGATGTTAAAGACGACGTTAAGTTTGCTATAAATTGCTACTGGAGTGACACTCAGGGAGAAGGAAACCATACACATTTCGTTTCAGGATATACGCAAACAACGGGACAAAGTAAAGACTACATGCCACCTTACATGACAGTTTACGCATGGTATAGAATTGCTTAGTCGTCATTTTCAACTTCTTTAGCATATTCGTCAGGAGTTGTCTTATATTTGTTAGGAACTGTCTTTGAAAGTATACCACCTTGAACTTTGACAAGTTTGAAACGAGGTCTGACAATAGTAGTTTTATCTTCTGCTTGCAGTGTGTACATTTTGCCATGTTTGCCTAAAACTTCATAATATTCTCTTGTATACTTTCTTCTATTTTTACGAACACGAATGTGAGTACCTGTCGGGTTCCCATTGTTGTCATAGTCAATAGTATTTTCATATGGGTCGCGTTTAGGTATTTCTATTTTTACTTTGTCACCTTTCTGAAGTTTGAAGCCCGGCATTCTTTCTTGTTTGTCTCTTTTGACTAAATTATTAAATATATAGTCTTTCTCTAAGTCAGGGTTGTTTTTCATTTCTTCGGGGGAG